ATGGTACGGAAATGTAAACAATAGACAGAACGTAATGTAATGTGTAACTGAGAGCTGACACCAACAGCAGCACAGCGTCAGCAGCCCACATTGCTGACAGCCGGGAAGGAGATAAACGAGTCCATTTCTATGCTTTCCTGTAAACTGGTTACGAGTCTGTTGGTTTTTCACTTTTCTTGTATTTTAACGATTAAACCAACTGGTACACAAATGTTTATATCTGTTTTTAAAAGACTTGTAACTTCTCTCATGTCTCCATCAGATGAGCAGCAGTAGCAGTTTTTGGTGACATTATTATTAATAATAATTAGATTGTATTTGAATACAATGCAGGATTTAAAATGAACTGATGAAGATGGTCTATGTGTCTAATCTGGCCTAGGACAGATGTCTGTGTTTCCCTTCTGGACATGTTACCCCATCAACCCGATGTGGAAGACTGTTCAGAATTTAGATCTCACGGCATCTCAACGTGTCAACATTGCAGCGAGTGAGCTGAGGGAACTATAGCTCCATTTTGTAGCAATTCAAGAGCTACACAGCTTTTATTGCGTCGCAAAACATTTCATCAGCACAGAAACTCCAAAGCACGCAAAAAATTTCATCAGCACAGAAACTCCAAAGCACACACATTATATATATAATTGCTTTATAGATTTTGTCATAGTACCTCCAAGAATTTAAAACTACTTTCACCCCTGCCTGTATGTAAAGTGAAAATACTGCATTCATTTTTCCTGACAAAAACGTCCCTTTTAAGAATTTTTATATTGCAGTGATGTATTCAAATCAATAAATTATATCTAATGCTTATATTTATTATTCATAGCATATTCTTAGCTCAATTGATAGAATTTTCCTAACCCAACATTGCAAAATAAAGTGAAGTAATCCATCCCTAAAGTAATGCCATATATGGAAGTCGCGGTGCACACACCTGGCTCATTACCGAGGCAGGTAGATCAGACAGCGCCTGAATTAAACGACACGTAGAATGCTGCTTTACCACTGATATTATGGCAGAGGTGTGTTGTCAATAATCAAATTAATGTCTTTGTTTTTATTTGCATTTGGCTGTAAACGTTATGTTACCAGAACAAAAAGTCATATTTATTTAACACCCCCATGTGTATGCGTGAAATGGTTTGATCCTGTGTTGGTGCACTTATCGGCGTGTTTAGTAGCAGTCAAAGCCACAGCGATAACCATGCGTTTTAGATAAATATATGCATTAAAAAAAGACTGATTTTCAAAAAAGGAAAAGGAGGGAAAAACAAGAGGGTGTCAAGTTGAAACCCAGTTAGAGGTGAGTACTTGTGTGTGATTGATTTGCTGGTTTAGCTAGCTTAGTAACGGACTAGCGTTAGCCTCTTTCCCCCCTCAGCATTTTAACAGTGACAGAAATATATTTACTAATTTACTAATACATTTGACTTACCTCTGTACCTTTCATTAACAGAAGAGTCAGCAGCAGCCTTAACTCCCCATACTAGCGTAACTCCTCCTTGTTCCAGTGAATAAGGTGAGAAAAACTGCGCTCAACGGTAGAGTCTATGGGGATGCATTGCTTCCTTGTATTAACCTACTAAAGCTAGGTTTATAGTTGACCCTTTGAACTATAACCCTTGAACCGCGCGTCGCAGCTGTTCACCTTTGAATTTTTGTAACTTGGCGTGGATCATTAATCACACAAACTGGACGGTTTGGAAAGTGCTCTTACAGAGCAGGTCCCCTTGCACTGGCATTTTAAATAAAAGCTCATTGCATTAACTATAAACTCCATACCGCTGTCTTGGCTTGAACCACACCAACTTTCAAAAGCGCTACTATGACTCAGCCTTTACGCAGCTACCATGGCAGCCATTTTGTGGTGCCTGTATACCCATTGCGCCTCCTTGGAGCTGCAGTTCTCAGTCTTGGATGAAATTCCCAAGATGGCCTTAGCAACTTCTGGTTGCCCTAACTACTGTGGGAATAGTAAATGAAAACAGTTTCATACCCTTGTGCTGCCATAATTATTGCATGGGCTATTGGTTAAACATTAGTTGTTTTTTTCCTACCATTTTTCAATTTACTGTTACTCTATAATGAAGGGCAGCAGCAAGCTGGGAGGAGACAGAGAAGACTGCATCATCTGGAAGGCCTGCCACCAGTAACTAATGCTTCATCATCTTCACTTGTGTCTTGATCTTCCAGAAGCTCATCAGTCTCTTCTGAGTCAGGCTGTGCCTTTTAAAGGTTTTTCAGTCTGACTTGGCAGGTAATCTACACCAAACAGCTCACCTATGGATTAAAACACACAGTGATACTAAAACAGTCCTTAAAACATTCCACACATTTTTGACTCAAACGTGAAAGATTTTTATTATGCATTTTCTTTTCTTTTACAGATTTGATACTGGCGTATTTTGCCGGTGGTGTGACGTTTGGGATGTAGTCTCAGCCAGGCACCTTCAGGGTGTTATTAATGATTCTAGCATATTTAAAAACACAATGCCTTGCTGGTGACCCGATCCTGGTCCCGGCTGTTAAAGTCTTCCAGTAGGTCGAGCGGGAAATTAATGGAATCTGCTCTTGCTTCTGGAAGAAGAAAATATACATATCACCTTTGGAAAAATTGCTTTCTAGTTTGAACCTGTTATGAAAGGAGACATACCAAAGGGAAGCAATTATGTTTCACAACAGTAGCTAACCTGGAAGAAACTTGTTCAAGTGGCAGTGAAAAGACTTGATGTTGTTGAACCTCATGCTTCTGAGCTTGATGCCTCTCTTGTTAATGCTGCAAACTTAAGTGTACAGCTGAATTCCCGAAACACCCTGGAAATTTACATTTTAAGTGGCATAATTGCACACAGCAGATGTGATCCATCTTTAATTCAACCATCAATGGTAAACGTATGAGGTCTCTCCTTTTGGACCCTTTAGCTCCTCCAACAGCCGTTCTATCAGGACAAGAGTTGTGTACTCTCCCTACGTCCTCCTACGGCTTAAAGTACTAAGTTCTGTCTTTGTTTTATGGCCATCCACCATTGCATTGGTTATACTCCGTCTGTGTTCGTGCTGGAGCCGCTTTGTTTTTCACATGTTTGTTGGTGAAATGGGGGGGGGGAAAAATCCTAAAACTTTTAAAATGGTATCTGACATTACAACATGCTTTTTCTAGTCACATAGAACAGTCAAAGTTATCATTACAATGTTACAAACCTTTTTGGTGGAGTCCGGTTTCAAAAATGGTCCCAAAGGTGGAGGTAAAGCTGGTCTTTATGTGGTCAATGCGTGACAGATCATCTTCATCATACACAGACAGCAACCAGCGTTCAGTGGGCTCCTGGCACACCACAGGGAAAAGGCTGGATCTATTCACAAAGTTGGTGCACTCCTCCAGATACTGCCCCAACTTATGTGGACATTCCTCCCTGTGGTTTTCTTTCATCTGTTAGATGGTAGGCTGTATGTAGGGATCGGCCCTGAACGTGGTATGGCATAATGAGGATGTCCCAGGCAGGGAGAAATGGGTCAGCAGCTACAGACAAACTGCTAGGAGGGTTTAGCCCTTGTGGCACTACAGCAGTTTCCTGCCTTTTCACCCTTTTGTTATGCCACTAGGGTGGTTTATCTAACATCCACCAGCTGCAAGTTAGTCTGCTCCATCACAGCTCCATTTGCCAAAATGAGCTGACTGATCTTCCTGAGATGAATATTGCAGAAGCGAACAAAGATGCTTTCCACCAGGCGGCAGCAGTCTCACCGTTGGACAGATGTGGCGAGGGTGGTTAAGGCATTTTCAACCCCAGGGGTAAAATCTTGCCTCTTTTTAGGTTTCCTAAACCTCCCAGCGTTCAGTCTGTCTTGGTGCCTTGCAGCAAATACCACCCTCTGCTTGATGAACGCCACCAGGTTTCTGCCACATTGCAACAATGCAGCTCAACTGCTACACCTAGATCATCTAAACCCTGAGAAAACATAACCAACATAAAACCCCCCAAAATGTTTTTTCCCCCCCATAAGGATTTATTTTGAAATACCTGTATACTTTGCTGGAGGCATAAATTGTGGGACGTATTCTAGTCCCAGCACCTTTAGGCTTTTCTTATTGATGTACCAGGTCATGTCTTGAGCATAATTGAGAAGAGATGATGGCTTGCTGCTCACTTCTGCAGTACCCTAATCTTGATTCCACCTGTTCATGCCTTCCAGGAGATAGAGCTGGAAATTCAGCAAATTTCCACTGATTCCTGGAAAAAACAGAATATTAATGTATTTGAAACAATGCTGGTTGATCCAGTTTTGATTTTGAAAAATACAGCAAAGGGGTTTAATCATGTTGGTGACTTACCTGGAATAAACCTCTTTAGATGGCAGTGAAATGACTCCAGGCACGTAGAGCCTCGTGAACAGCGGTAGCGTGTCAGCTTGATCCTGCTCTTGTTGATAGTGTGTAACTGAATTCCTGGGACGTCCTGGATGCATTTTATGGATTGTTTTTGTACACTCCACATGTGATTTATCCTCACTTCATCCAGCAGAGGAATGCCTATCAGATCTCTCCCTTTTGGACCCCTCAGCTCCTCCAGCAGCTGTTTAATGAAGTCAACAGTGATGTACTTTCCCTATGTCCTACTACGGCAGAAAGTATTCAACTCCTTTGTTATTTGGCATTGGTTATACCCCGCCTCTGTTCCTGCTGCAGCTGCTTTTCTTTGGCCCTTCGAAGCAGGTCAAGGACCCCTCATCCCACTCAAAAATTCAGGAGGACAGTGCCTGCATGAAAGCAGGATACAGAAGGTTTGCATCTGTGGTACAACCAACAGCCAGCCTCCGCATGAAGTGCCAAATGTCCAGGCGAATGTAGATATCTGGCCACTCTCCAAACCTGGCCTGCAGCTTGTTGAAGCCCTCATTCACACAGCAGCCACAGTCCAAATACAGCATCTTGGGAGGTGCAGCGCCAACCTGCTCCATGAGTCCTGCAGCTACTTTGTCCAGTTCTGGACCCTCCTTGACAGTCAGGACACTGTTCAGCTCATTGCTTACTGATGACACCCACAGAGCTGTTCTCTTGCTGTGGCCAGCCAGCTTTTTGGTGATCTACAATAGAAAATGTGAAATTAATTTATGCAGTTTGTCTTATCTATAAAAACACCGTGTGCCACTGATTTCTTAATATTTTCAATGTACTTTATACAATGAACAGTTAAAAATAAACAAGTTTGTGAAATTGAGAAAAACCCCAAAACCTTTTGAAATGGTCTCATCTTACAACATGCTTTTTCTGGAAGCATATAATAATGCTAATAGTAATTATCATTTAAATATATAAGTCGTGCATCTTCAGAAAGCGGTCCACTTTGCCATGAAGGTTGCCTAATGTTTTTTTTTTTTTTTTTAATTTTATATAAATGTATACAATAAAAATGGTCATTGCGTGCTTTGTGATTGACTGCACAGACCAAACTTCATTTTGACGCATATTTTTTGTCGAAAGAATACTACGGTGGAAGTTTGGTCCTTCCAAAACTTTGTCGCAAAAAAGTTTTAGAAGGATTTATCTTGGTGTCATTTTTGACGTTGCAAAAACGTGGCATGGCTAAGTTTTTGAGAGTCAAACTTTAGCTAGCCTGACAGTTTTTTTAACCAACCGTGCTGGTACCTCTACCAATTAAGAGCCTAGCCGTTAGCTGACTGAAGCCACGTGCTGAACGCCAAGTAAAGCTGGGTAAAAGTAAGTAAATGGCTTGTTTTTCTAAAGAATTTCCCATTTAATTATGTGAAAGATAACCATTGACACGTTTGCGACAAATAACCATTTTGAGCTTAGTTTAGCCAAGTGTTGGGCAAGCCACAGCCATTTATTTTAGGTTAGGAAGTGTTTGAATTACATGTACTCAAGAAATGCAGGGATAACACCTGCCTGGTAGAATATTTAATAACGAGATCATGGGCGTAGGTTTGGGCAGGGACGGTAGGGACATGTCCCGACCAATATTCA